GAGGTTTCTCGCCGCCCAGTCCTCCAGTCTGTCCAGGTCCCTCTGGATGGCAGCACAGTCCTCAGGGCTATCAGCTACTCCTCCCAGTTTGGTATCAATACCTGATATCTTTCTCATTTAAACCTATACCAATCTCTTAAATTTGTGATAAGGTCTATTTTAGTAACTCTAAAGTTTGGTAGGTCATTGTAACCTTGATGACTTTGCAGACTGTAGGGTATTAGTGATTTATTTTTCTATTTGAAGTACAGCAGTTTTCCACAACTGGTAAATGATAGGCAATGTTTTGCTGGTACTACTATCCAGTACTACAAGCTATTGTAGAACCTGTTACCATTGTAGGTCAGGCTGGTACAGTGAGCATGCCAAAAACTTCTTCACTTGCTCTTGGGATCTTGCAGTGAGAAGGCAGGGCATAGCAGAGGCCCTGTCAAAAAAAAAAAAAAATATATATATATATATATTTTAAAGATATGTAGGAAGCACACAATCCCGGGTAATTGTCTCCTGCATCCCATATTAACTGAATAACAGCACTTGCTTTTTCCCTATTTGGTGCTAAACATTTTCAGCTAGACATTCCAAAACTGAACTTTAGGGCACTAATGAGTGTGAATTAACCAGATTTTTGAGATGAACTTCATTTACTTTCTCTGAGAGATTAGAAGGGGTGAAATGATTAAGCTCTGAAGAACTGGTTGAGGTTGATGTAAGGTGCATTTTTTGTTTTGTTTTGTTTTCTTCTTTCCTCCTCCCCCATATCAAACATGTATGTAAATAAATAGGCATGTTCATTTTAATAGTTTTGCATAGTCTAGGTAGTAATCTCCTTAACAAGGTCCAGCTCTGCTTCACTTGAGTATTTAGAACAAAATACCTTCTCAGCAACAGAGTTCCTATTCAACTGTAGCTCACCAGCACTGAGGTGAAATATGTGATTTAGATTACACCTGAACCTAAGAAAAAATGCCCTTAAAACTTCCATGAGATGTCAGCAGATCTCTGGAAATAATACTATGTTTGTGACTGAAGAAAATTGTCCTTAAAACTTAATAAACGTTAACTGAACGGTGCTGAAAATATTGTATTGAAGTGGATTTTACGTAATCTCAAATATTTTGTCACTAAAGCACTTTTAACACAGTATACAGTGTGTGTTAGCTGAATGCTTAAAACTCGTGAGTGTGTGTTAGCTGAATGCTTAAAACTCGTGTCCTGTTCTCTGGTTCAGCACAAAAGACAGCAGCCACAGCCACTTTTATGTAACCAGAGAAATCAGGAAAGGAGAGGGCTATTTGGTGCTTTATCTTTGAAAAACTGATTTCCTGAGCTAAACTCCTCTCAAGAATTCCTCACATGTGCTGTCAGCTGCCGTGCTCATCCATAATTGTTGTTTCTTCCTCTTTCTCTTATGAACAATCCCTATGTGTTTGTAGGCAAAAATATGTTTTCTCATAACTTCTAGCAGTTTCTTTGGTAAGGAACCTTCTGCTTTTACATCAGGAGTAAGAACATTTCCAACCTTCTATCTTTTTTTAAAAAAAAATAATAATTTATTTAATTAATTTAATTTAATTAATTTAATAAATTTTATTTATTTATTTATTTTTATTATGGAACCAGTAGTTTTTTCTCTTTTATTTCAGTGATGACTGGGTTATGGGGAGATCTCTGTGCTGAATCTAAAATGCGAGAAATTTAAAGAATTGATGCATCAGATTAGTGACTGAAATAAAATACCACTAAGAATACAGTGGAAGTGCCTTCCCATTATGACAGAAGTATCATAACTCTTCACGGTCTGTTGTTCTCTAGTCTTGAGTTTGTTTAGGTAGGGACCCAGCCTGAGGGGAATTGGAGTTTGTGGAACCACTTTATGTGGTTAGGATAATGAACAAGTCATTAATCTTGTTCATGCAAAAGTTTTTAGTCATCTGTGTTGTGTATTTTCAACTGTCTGTTTAGTGATGTGCTATAATGAACTGGTAGCTTTGTGATGCCAGATTTTGACCTTGAAATCCTGAGATATTAATGGTTGTTGCAATATTGTTTGTATATAAAGAGTTACATAGAAAGATTTAAACATAAATTTGCAGGRGTTCTTACGTAGTGAGTAAATAGGTGTTAAATAGTGAGTGGTAAGAGAAAAACAGGTTTTAGAAAAGATATTGCAGGACTTTACAAGGGAGTGTGTACACAACTTTCCCTAGCTTTATGCAAAGGACAGTGCTCACTGCCCACAAATTGTGGATAAGATTTTGAAATTCTTGTCAACTAATGTTGAAAGCTAAAACTAGCTAATTCTTTTGTTTACATGCAGATGTCAGAGGTGGGTAGAGAACTGTCGAAGGGCGGATTTAGAAGATAAAACTCCAGATCAACTCAACAAGCACTACAGGCTGTGTGCTAAGCATTTTGAGACTTCTATGATATGCAGAAGTGTAAGTATAACTAGATTCTTGTTTATTGCATTTTGCAAAATGGGGTTAACATTTTTAAATCAGTTGCATTTTAATCTATGATGCCTTGGGTAACTGTTCTCTACAAAAATTAATCTCTGAATTTAACTGAGATCATTATCATGGTTCAGGCACCACACAGAGTCACAGATGTTTGGGTTGGCACAAAAGATGGGATGGAAATGAGCAGTTGGGGAAGAGAGAAATTGAGTTGCTGCTTCTGTTTAATACATTTGTGGTGTTCTGGCCATCACTGCAGTTCTCTCACAGGAACCAATGCTCTTTTTGTTTACTGTCACTGAATATTACAACATTATACAAATATATTGAGTGTAAGAGCCTACATTTGTGTACCTCTATTTAAAATCATTAATGTGCTGCTACAGATGTATGTATATGGTGGGATAGAGTTCAGTTGCATGCTGTTGTGATCATTAACTTTAAACATCCCTTACATCTGTGAAGAGTTTGGTTCCTGCTGCTGTATTATATCTGTCTAAAATTGTGTCACTGTTTCCTGTTTATGAAATGTATAATTTTCAATTCTTACTAACAAGACGGTACTGATTTTTTACAGCTTCCATAGTAGTAGAAAGTGATGGATTTGGCTGGGCTCTTTTTTTTTTTTTTTTTTTAATGTTTTAATTTATGAGCAAGTTCTGCTCTGATAGGTATATGCACATTTCATCCTCCAGTTATACAGGATAATTTAAAGCTCAGATCAGAATTTCAGCTTTTGTGGTGTTACACATCACAGGGTCTGTGAGTATGCAGTGCCCTAGAAACAAGCAGTGAAATTAATTCTGAATTGAAGTTTTATAAAACTTCAGTTTACTTATAGTGCACTTCAAACTGATTAGGTAGAACCGAGTACATAATGAAAACAATTCAGCTTAGACAATCTAAGTTTACAGTATATTCAGATGTGAAACTTCACTTAAAATGATTTTGTCTAACTGATAGAGACATTTACACAAACATCTAGAATAATTATTTTCTTCCTCCTACTAATTGGAGGAAATACATAAATGAACATGGAAATGCATAAATGAACATTTTCATTGTGAAAATACTTGCTTTTTTTTTTCTCTAGAACTGTGATGAAATAAATGATGAAAACCAAAGCATAATAATACTAAATAGTTTCCTTTCTCATGTATGGGTGTCCTTTTATCCAGAATGTCCTTCTGGATAGTTAAAGAACAATATTATTGAGGTAAATTAAAATCATTTTTATCAGAGATATGTGATATGAGGATAAAGGGGAAAAGTGACTATGCTTTTTAAGGATATCTTCTTATTTTCAGTTTTCTCTTGAAATACAAATTATGCGTTCTATTCTGCATGATCAGAAAGTAAAAATATGAAAAGAAAAAGACATTGTCTGTCTTTACTGTAAAATATCATAATAATGAAAATATAAGCAGTTAGAAATAGAATGTAAGCAGTTAGAAATAGAGTGCATGACCTCTGAAATTTGTTCTGCATTTTTTGTATTCATGCAGTGAGAACTTTCTAGAAAAATCTCTTAATTTCTATGTCTAACTTCTTACAGAGTCCTTACAGAACAGTTTTAAGAGATAATGCTGTGCCAACTATATTTGATCTTACAAGTCATCTGAACAATCCTCACAGCAGACATAGRAAAAGGATAAAAGAACTGGTAAGTTTTTAATTTAAGGACTTGTCTTTATTATTTTAACATGCAAAGAAAGTTCAGATAGAATTTTATATAGCAGTATCAATTAATATTTATGATATTTAGTTTCTCTCTATCTTCTTGTTGATTATGACTTAGATATCTAAGTACTATGCTAATATAACTATTTGCTAAGGAAAGCTTGATGAAATTATCCAGAAAATTATCTGTTTTAGTCCAGAGCTGATACTGGCTTCTTTTTACATGTTGTAGCACTAACTGGATACACCTTATAGATGGTGCATTGAAATTATTGCTACATATGGATTGCATAACCTTCAGTGAACCTGTTTCACTTCTGAAGTCTACAGCAATTCAGGGGTGCTTGTCTTGTTTTATGATGAGTGTCATCGATTCATGTATAAACCAAGATCAAGCAGTTCCTTGTGGAATTACAACTTGTCAGTGGCTCTTTTGTAACAATTACAGAAGAAGTATCTATAGGTCTGGACTATTTCCAACTACCAAGGTCTGCTTAAATGTTAAAGAAGACAGGTGAAATCTAGATATTCCTTGCTGATAAGTCTGCTTGTTTACCAAAACTTAGAAAGTAGATTAAAAGACAATTGTGTCTGGTGACTGGGTTCAGAGTTTTTCCTTATATTTTACAGTTGCTGGTAAATGAGTTTTAGATTGAATACTCTCCTGGTATAGGAACCTTAGATGTAGGAGCAAATTATTTTTGCATAGTTAGTAGATATGTATGTCATGACAGCAATAAACTATGAAGAAAGTTCTCCTTTTACACCTTCTAGCACTTCTTGAGAAATATTAACACTTCTTATATGGCCTTATCTGCAACATTGGTATCTGATCTTGATGTGCTTTAATACTTTAAGATCCTATGGTAGTCATTATCATACATTTTTTTTTCTTTCTTTTAGAGTGAAGATGAAATAAAAACACTGAAGCAGCAAAAGAGTAAGTGGGCAAAATATTCGGGCTTATAGAAAAGTTGCTTATTGAAATAGATAGGTAATTCAGAACAGTAACTGTGGGCTTACATGTATATCATGARACTAGCTGAATTGCTGCTTCATTTAAACAGCCGGTCTGAACTGTCTTTGAAATTCTCATTCACTTTTAAGATGCCAACATTGTTCTCTGGCCTCAAGTAACTTGAAAGGCTGTGGGGATAGCAGGTTATCTTTTACTCCTGTGTAGTCTCATACTCTATTTTATGTTTTGTAGTTGATGAAGCCTTAGAGCGGGAACAGGCAACTCAAGAATTGAATGAAAGCAATGCACAGAATACTGTCTCGCAGGAAGGAGGGGAAGAACAAGAGGAGAAAGTTGTCCCTTTAACACTTGAAGAAAGAGAAAACAAAGATTACCTCAAATCTTTGTTTGAAATTTTGATCCTAATGGGTAAACAAAATATTCCTTTGGATGGCCATAACGTTGATGATCTTCCAGAAGGTGTCTTCGCTTCAGATAACTTCCAGGCTCTACTGGAATATAGAATAAATGCTGGAGATGAAGTTCTGAGGAAACGATTTGAGATGACTGCAGTAAATCTTGAGTATTGTTCAAAAACTCAGCAGAAGCAAATGCTTGAGATCTGTGAAAGCTGCATTAGAGAAGAGACATTGAGGGAAGTAAGAGATTCGCACTTCTTTTCCATAGTTACTGATGAAGTAGTAGATATAGCAGGAGAAGAACATTTGCCAGTTCTGGTGAGATTTGTTGATGACTCTCATAATCTAAGAGAAGAATTCATAGGTTTTTTGCCTTACGAGGATGATCCTGAAATCTTAGCTGTAAAATTCCACACAACTATTACGGAAAAATGGGGTCTAAACATGGAGTACTGTCGAGGTCAAGCCTACATCGTCTCCAGTGGGTTTGCTTCTAAAATGAAAGTCGTAGCCACAAGACTCTTGGAAAAGTATCCACAAGCTGTGTATACGCTGTGTTCCTCCTGTGCCTTAAATGCATGGCTGGCAAAATCCGTCCCTGTTGTTAGTGTTTCCGTTGCACTAGGTACAATCGAAGAAGTCTGCTGTCTTTTTAATCAGTCTCCCCAGTTGCTAGTGGAACTGGACAATACAATTTCTGTTCTTTTTCAGAACAATGAGGAGAAAGGTAACCAGCTGAAGCAGATCTGCCGCTCTCAGTGGACAGGCAGGCATGATGCTTTTGARGTTTTGGTGGACATGATGCAAGCACTGGTTCTGTGCTTGGATAGTGTTATCAGTGACTCGTCTGTCCGGTGGAATAACTTTATTGCTGGCCGAGCGTTTGTACTTTCAAGTGCATTAACAGATTTTGACTTCATTGTCACTATTGTAATTTTGAAAAACGTTCTGTCTTTCACAAGAGCCTTTGGAAAAAATCTCCAAGGACAAACGTCAGATGTGTTCTTTGCAGCTGGCAGCTTAACAGCAGTGTTGCATTCTCTGAATGAAGTGGTAGAAAATATTGAAGTCTACCATGAATTTTGGTTTGAGGAAGCAACAAATTTGGCTACAAAACTGGACGTGCAAATTAAGCTTCCTGGAAAAATTCGCAGGGCACAACACGTTAACTTGGACGCTGAAATAACTTCAGAAAACTACTACAAGGAAATTCTTAGTGTCCCTGCAGTGGAGCACATCATTCAAGAATTAAAAGATATATTCTCAGAACAACATTTAAAAGCTCTCAAATGTTTGTCGTTAGTGCCCTCAGTCATGGGGCAGCTCAAATTCAATACATGTGAAGAGCATCATGCTGATATGTACAAAAATGACTTGCCTAATCCAGACACGCTTTCTGCTGAGCTTCACTGCTGGAGAATCAAGTGGAAGCACCGAGGAAAAGACATTGAGCTTCCAACTACTATTTATGAAGCACTTCATTTGCCGGACATAAAATTTTTCCCTAATGTATATGCACTGCTCAAAGTCTTGTGCATCCTTCCAGTGATGAAGGTGGAGAATGAGAAGTACGAAGTAGGACGAAAGCGCTTAAAGGCATATCTGAAAAACACCTTAACAGAACAAAGGTCAAGCAACCTAGCTCTGCTCAACATAAACTTTGATATAAAACATGACTTAGATTTAATGGTGGACACCTACATTAAACTCTATCCAGATAAAGTGGAATTTCAGGAAGAATTTCTTCCCACAAATAACACCGAAGTAACAGAAGATGCTTAATTTTTTAAGCTTTAAACAGGCTGTTGAAACAGCTTTTTCCTAGTTTAAACCTCAATGTTGAGAGAAAAAGCTGTGACGTCTCAGAAATCACTGCAATGGTATTTCCGTTTTAGGGCTCAGATTGAAGAAGCAGTGGTCAGTGACCCAACATACGTTTTGTTTAATATGCATTAAATATATTATGTGAACAAAACAAAGCAAGCCTGAAAATAAATCTGTGCTCTTCGCAATGATGGTGCTTTCTCCATCTGATTGACTTAAGTAGGTGCTCGTTCACGTTGTTGCATCTTGGAAAAAAGTATATTGTGGTGATTGTAGGGCTGATGGGGCTGTTACATATTCCCTCTTGAATACAGATAAGAAAAAAAACTCGCAATGCAAAAGGAGAGTATAATCTGTCTCAGTCTAGTTATTTAGAATTTATCTTTTTTTTTTTAACTTAAAATCTTGAACAGGCATTTATTGGCATTCTGGGGAGTGCATTCAGCTATTGCACGGTCCTCATGCCGTGGACTGTTCTCTATAAAAAGTAAAAATAATGATTTAGAGGTACGATAAGGTTTCATTGGAAGAGTCAGCCTCTTTAATCATTTGATGACTGTTTACATTCCTTTGTGTGAGACACATTTTTTTTTTTTTTTTTTTTTTTACCAGTATGGCAGGGATATTGAAATTCCTAGAAGACACTAAAAATGAAGTTTATTCCATAGCATTCAAATCTGTTTGTTCCGTCTCCGATATGAAATTGTGCATCTTTTTGTCTGTTAATTTGTAAACTCACCCAGGAAAGATTACCAAGAAGCATTTGTTGTTTGTCTAGAAATAAGATTAAAAATATTGCTGTTATTTTTGGCAGAAATAAAACATTTTGTACAGTTTATTGCAATTTAAAATAAAAATGTGAATTTGCTTTTTACATAGTATTGGATTTTACTGAACCAAATGAATTTTGGCTATATTTTTCTTCTATTGATTCTTCAGTTCCAGTGAGTGGCATTGTCTTAAGGCACAGGAAAAACTGCACTTCTGATCTGTGTGCTCTGCTCATGTCATGTCTTTTTAAAGTATTTTGAGATAACTTTAAATACAGTGCTCTTAATTGTAGAGCTTTTATTTAACAGAAATCATGGCAATTGGAAATTCATTAAATCTGAAATTGTGAAAATGTTGCCAGTTTTTGCAGCTATCCCAGTGCCAATTTTGTAATTACTTTAATTTTTCTCATTCATGTATCTTTCCTTACAGTTGTAGTGAGAAGGATCTCCAGCGACTGAAAACTGAATGATTATAGAGACATACAATTGACACATACAATTCTTAAGTGTTTTAATACCATTAAAAATGGGAATATATAGGTAAAAAAGTTWTAGTAAGTTACAGCTTATTATAGCTGCTAAAGTGATTATGTATATTTTAATAAACATTTAGGAGCTTTTATTTGCTTTGAAGCAGTAAAAGGTTATTGTTAAACTTGCTATACGTTTTCCACTGCTATTTGTATGTGTTCCAGGCATGCTGCCTTAAGTAACAGTGTCACTGATAAACATTAATGCTAATATTACATCAGCTAGTAAAAATTATTTTAGCTAATAAGTTGGGATTTTTTTTTCTTCTCCCTCTGAATATATTAAAATAGCCAATATTACATTAATGCTTTAAAATTGTTCYCAGGATATTTTTATTTAGATTTCCCTCAGAAAACTTCCTGCATTTTTCAAAGTACATTTCATTTGCAGGATTAATGAAGTAAAAAAAACCTTTCTCATCCTGGGACTGTCTATGTTTATATCCTGCCAAAGAGTGAAATGAGATGGTTGGGACCAGTAGGGTTGTGCTGGACCCCATCTCAGTCTTCCATTCAGAGGTCAGGAATGTTTGTTTTGATTGCTTTTTGCTTTATTTTTGTTTGGCTTATTTTTAGGGGAAAAAGAAAAGATTTTTAGATTCTTCTGAGAAAGACAAGACTGTGTAACAAATTGGTTGAATTCTTTGAATTTGTGACAGCAGGCAGGGTTATTTTCATAGGGGATTTCAATGTATAATGAACCAGACTGATCCCATCAAATTTCTTTCACCAAGCTCCGTTGTATCATAACTAAGAGCCTGGTAGATCCCTTTGCTCTCTAGGGATGAGAGATGGATACCACCAAGGGTCTTTCAAGTTAATCTACTTTTCTTCACKAATTTACACAGAGACAGCATAGAACTGATAGTATCATTGCACTGGAATGGATAAAACCAGATTGGATAAATCCAGGCTTAAATACATAGTCACAGCATGAAGATTGATACCCAGGGCCGTGTCATTGCCCAGAAGAGCTCAGCAACTTTCTGACAAGGTAAATGAGATCTTTTTCACTGACAGACCAGTTCAAGAAAGGAAATCCAGTAAAACACTCCAGCTACTGAAGAGTCCTCTGGAGCTCGGCTGAGACGTACAGTTTTGACGAGCTTTGTTAATTAGCTGGCTCCAAATGCTGTGTTTGCTTTTTAGCATTGYGTTAATTTTCATTAGATACGCTTAGATTGTCTGTAAGCAATCAGAAGGGGAAAGCTCTTTGCTTAGATATTTTGAATTATGCTGTTAATACAGCATGAGATGGGAATTTCTGTTGTTAATGGTGTCGCTGTGGTTCATTTAGCTACCTCTAGCAGATACTCTGCATCTTGTAAGGATGAAGAGGAACAAAGCCATAGCACACTGCAACGGCACATTCCCCTTTAACTTAAATTCTGAAACTGTAGTAGCCAACAATAGATTTTTGAGACTGAAGGAACCGTCTCATCTTAAATACCCCATCAACTCGGGTGGTTTGTATTTCCAAGATGCATCTGTGAGATTTATCTTACTTTTGATCCGACTCTTTGGAAAATTCTACTTGATAAAACTATATGTTTAAAATATTTTAAATATAGCTGCTTAAACATTCATATACATTGGTGAAAGTGGGTGCTTCTTACCTGCTCATTTGGTAATGTTTCTTCAAAGCAATATTTGTCTTTTCAGAATATACATTTCTTTTTCTTATGCCAGCATAAACTTTCCATTAGAATTCACTGTTGATTCCTTGAAAAGGAGCATGGAGCTTTTTAATCTTMTGTAGTGCTATTTCTATCATTGGTTTAGAAATCCTGTCACTTCTTATCTGGTTGCCAAAGCTGTACTGTAAAGAAGCAGAGGACCAGAACCACTTARTGATTCTGGGTGCAGAATCCTCAATTTCCATGAAACACCACAAATCTCAGAGGTGCCAGAAACATCCCAATTACTCAAAAGCAGCACAAAAATAAATCTTTTTACTGGATCTGTTTCAAGAAACAGATGCTGACTTAGAAAAACAATAGGTGTTACCCCAAAGAAGGCTTAACATTTGATAATTTCCAGACCTCTAATGCTTCTTCCTTTCCCTAAGGAAAACATTTCTTACGAAGTACAGCATTCTCCCTAGCATTTTGCCTACAATGTGTGTATAGTGACAGAGCAGCAAAAAAATGGAAATAAGATAGATGCACAGCTATTTCAACACRGATTTGTGTTTGTTATAAGCTTTCTTTACATTGCAAAATAACATTTGATTAAATTGAACCCAATCGGCATGTTCCGTAACAAAATGATGGCTCTTTTTATTACTGCTATAGCTGTTCAGTACGTTTATTTCAACGTTGCAAGCTTTCTTAAATCTGTGCCTACGTGTCTTCTGTTTTAGTTGGCAGCGTAATTATCCCTGGAAGTGCCCTTGAAGACAAGGCAGGTACAAGTAAAACAGGAGAACCAGCATAGCCATGAAGCAACAGATTCCCCTGCTTTCGGTGTGACCACTCTCTGCATGGGTGATAGTTTGATGTGAGTACCCCGAAGCTGTGTGTTTTTATGCTTTAATCTCTTTAAGRACACTGGACTACTCCTCTGGATAAAGTCTGGTCTAATTCCCCTCTCCACCCTCACTTTATGTTCCATTAAAAACAAAAAAATGTGCTCTGTTTTGTCTATATACAGCTTTTCAAAAGAAAGCCATCTCTTAAAAATATTTTCGGAAGGAGTTGATTTCCTCCTTTTTCCCCATCTCCCAAAGTGACTTAGCACTTCATAATAGCTATACCATTCAGGTGCCCTGCCCCCATTTTATTAACATGGAGCAGAGAGCAAGACTGGAAAAGAATCATGGAAAAGGTTAGAAATGACTAAGGGTGGGAGGCTAGGAAAGAAACAGCTATGCAGCTCTGCCYGTAGTGGTCAAGGAAATGAGTTCACTGCCATAGCATGGTTCTTATCCTATTAAAATCTTTTCTGACAAACAGCTTAAGCTGTTTCATAACCAATTACCTTATAAATGCAAATTTAGGAGTAAACTGGTAGTGTGAGTGCCCATGCAGTCCTAACAGTGGATTTTGATGTCCCTGTRTTGCTGTGGCCGTTGTGTCAAATAGGGTCCCCAGTCACACTGTGTGCATATTAATTGACACCAGAACTCTGCTCAGGAACAAACTAATTTCCTAGTTGTAGACCTCTGGGAGAAAAGATGGCTCTTCCTAGGCCTCCTTGTCCCTCTAGTCTACCGGTGGTAGCTACATACCTCCATCAAACCTTCATGTGCTCATGACCATGTGCTCCATCAGCAACGTTATAAAAAACGCATTTGTGGGGGCAACAGTGGATCCTTCTTACGGAGAAGCCATGCTGTGAACTGATGAGCATTCCCTGTGAAGTCCAGACTGCAACATAGGCTTCCCCAGCAACCATTAGAAGAGATGCTTGTGAAAATTCTGTTAAAAGTACTGCAAAACATAGATGTACATTTCAAAAACTGAGWTCCTCTTGAAAGAAGCTGCAGAAGGACAACACTAAGCAAGACAACACTTCTGGCATGGCCCAAGGAATTCAGTGGAGATCTCTAGTAGATGCTGTCAACCAAGAGACATCATACCTTGTCRTCTACCATGCACAGGTCGTGGGTTTTGATAAGGGAAGAACTTGCCACCACTAACGTGCTTTTTTGGTCTCTCTTTGAGAGCAGAGGAACATCAAGCCTCATGGCTGCTTCCTTTGTGAAGTAGTAGTAGTAGTAGCAGCAGCAGGACACTTTTGCATCATGTTCTTTCTCACTAGAAGCCATTTATAGTGCTACCAGCCATGGCTCTGGACTGCATTTCAGCTCCAGATGAATTTAATCTGTTAGGCATTTTTAAACCCAAAGTGCATTCTGCTTTTAAGACCTTTTCCTGTTTGCACCAGCTGTTGCTGTGGTACTTCAGAGTGGTACCACACMAAGGTCACAGTTCCCTTGGTTTCTTCAGCCCTGTCCTCTCAGAAACAAAAGCATTCAATGTTTATTGTACAAATGCCAAAACAAAACACGAACAAACAAAACAGGTGACAACTGCAAAATTGCAATAATCCCAGGCATTCAATTTGTGCAACTTCCTTCCTTCCTGCTCTGTGTTTAGTCCACATTCTTTATAAAGCAGAAGTGCATGAGCCTGAAGAAATGTCCCCCCATGCTTAATGCAGAACTCCCAGGCTCCACAAGGGCCACAGAAAAACTGAAGCAACAGTCCTGGTCATTCCAGCAGAAGCAATGAAGACTTCTGAGCTCTACGCCAAAGTTTGTGAGATGGAAACTTGACTCCC